CTACTATTAAAATCTTTTTTCCCTACTTAAGCCTCTTTTGGCCTGATTTTCACAAGCCATAGACACAAGGACAGTAGGACAGAAAGGAATCTTACAGAAGTTTTCTCTGATTTGTTTGATAATCCTTTTCTTGCTCATCCAGCTTTACACCTTACTGTTCTGTTTTCAATAAAATAAAAGTAAAAGCAACTTTATTTTGAGAATTTCATGAAGGCTATAAAAATACTGGAGACAACCTGGGGTAACCAAAAGCATTATCACCACACTCACTCTGGAAATGTCAGAGAATGTGGCCACTCAATTCCCGAACTCCCAATAAGAAGGGACTGCTTACAATTCAAGGCAAAACTCCCCCATGTCAGCCCCCAGTTTTGTCACACTATCAGGCACCTGGCTGATTTCCACCACCCAGAGAGGGCAGATCTGGCTCCAACCAGGTCCCCAGCCAAGGGTCCAGGACAGGGATTAGGGTCTATAAAAGGGAACTTCCTACTAGAGACTAGATCTAGTGGGGCAAACACAACAAAAGCCAAAAGCTACCGAAAAGGAGCTTCAAACCCAGATCCAGAGATGAGAGGGACCAGAGGCAAAGAAACCAGAAGTGCAGAGCTGAGTAGAGAAAGCCCAAAGGGAAATTAGATTGGACTAGAGAAGAAGAGATTCCCAAGACCACCAAGACAAGAGGGCAGCCCAGGCTAGAAAGGGGTCAGATTATACTGCACATCAATCAAATCCGCCCTTGCTAGAGGGCTTGATTTGTTTTTTTCCCACTGGGGCCAAACATGCTGTCAAATGCCTGGGGATTCCAAGGTGATCACTATAAACCATAATGGTGTTTGCTTCTTGGAGACAGACAAGGGCCTGATACCTGGTTAGAACAGGCTGGAATCAAGAAGATTTCTGGAAAGATGCTAGATTGACCACCCAATGGTCCCCCCATACTTCCATCTCCAACTTACCTCTATTTCCTGGGCAAAGGAGTTGTTGGAGCCTGAAGGCACCAAGACAAATACTGGGGGAGCCTTGAGGGACTCTGTGGGAGAAGCTGGTGGAACTTTCTCCACCAGTCTGAGACCCAACTTCAGAGTGCCCCAGGTCAAAGCCTGCCAGTCCTAGCAGAGCTTGATGCACACAGTTGCCCTACACACACAAACACACTATGCTAGGGGGGAGTCTACATCCATCCTGGGTGAAGGTCCTGTTCTCCCTGCCCCCGTGGACAGGTGAACTAAGTCTTCCCTGCTCTTGGGGTTGGAAGGGCCCAAGGAAACCATGGAAGAAAAGAAAGTCTTGCTAGCGTGTAGCTGCAACATGGGTCCTCAGGGGGAAAGATCCTTTGACCTCACTCCGGAATACCTCCACTTAAGGTTCTGCAACAAGCACACCTGAGCCTCGGCGAAGATGCAAAGAGAGACAGCAACACAACTGGCAGCAAAACAAGGTGTGATCACATTAAACAACACAATCCTGCCCTGTCAGAGCTTATATTCAAGGAGGAAATAAGTATCACAGCAAAGCAGAGCATTTCCATCAATTCTAAAAATAACCCAACATGAGAAAATCATCCTCTTTTATAAGGGCCAAGAAAAGCTGCTCACAGGAAACTTCCACAAGCAGGAAATGGACATCTCTCTCTTTCTCCATATTTTTGAAGGAATTTTAAAAATAAGGAAAGGGATAGGGCCAAGGAAGATGTTCTCTCTTGTGGCTCCTTACTTTTTACTATATCAGACATATATCTATAACACAGGAAGCTGGTCTCCTAATACAGGCAGCAGAAATTTATACATCCAAATGAACATAGTTGATGGTGTTTTAAAAGGCCAATAAATAACACCGCTTCCTTTATCATCTGGAGATTAAAACCAAATGAGAGAGATACACAACAGTCACACACACAGAATTCAAAATATCGCCAACATTATTGACCGTGAGGTTTTAAATCTATGGCCAAGAGGACTTACTAACACTTTTCCTCAAAGTTAATCAGAGCCACCCACACAGACTTCTCCAGGGCAGGTGTCTTACCTCAGGCTAAGAGATCTGCAGCCTGGCGAATCTGAAAGTAGAGCCCAGAAGAGGCTGAGCCATCCACACCCGGTCCTTCTCCCTAACTCAAGGTCAGATTCAGCTATCCTTTACCCCCGCGAGGGGGGGGGGGAGGGGAATGGGCGGGGGTAGGGAGAGGGTGGTGAAGGGTCAGCAGTGTTCTTCTAGAGGACAGCCCTCTACACAGGTGCATGTAATCAAGGGAGGAATGCCTGCTCTGCTCCTAACCCAATAACCATCTCCTTCAAGGCGGACCCCTTAGGACAAAGTCTCTCTTTTTGATGCTACAGTCCTTCAGAAGATTTTGGAAATGCTCTCCAGGAGTCCTATTCGGAGTCTGCAGCTATTCTTTGAATACCTCTGGCTACAGTAAAGTTTCGCCTCCAGACAGGTGACCGTCAAACGTCATTGGAATAAAGCAGGCAAAACTTTGGGGCCAACATGAGGATGACGGTAGAGAGACGAATGTGGTTTTCTACTAGATACAACAGTCCCCCTTATCTGCGCGGATCCATTCCAAGACCCCCAGTGGATGCCTGACACCACGGGGCGTCCTGAACCCCAGCCATACTGGGGCTATTTCCCTATAAATACACACCTATGGTAACGCTTAATTTTATAAACTAGGCACAGTAAGAGATTCATTACAACAACAATAAAATAGAACGATTGTAACAAAATATGTAATAAAAATTACATGAATGTGGGCTCTCTTTCTCTCAAAATATCTTACTGTACTGACTCACCCTCCTCGTGATGACCCGAGCCGAGAAAATGCCTACCTGATAGGATGGAAGCAAGGTGAACGACGCGGGCCTCGTGATGTAAAGTTAGGCTACTATTGACCTTTGGATGATTCGTCAGGAGGCGAATCCTCTGCTTCCAGACTGCTATTGTTGTTGCTTTTATGTTTATTTTATTTATTTTGAGTGGAGAGAGAGAGAAAGAGAGAAGGAGGGAGGGGGAGAGAGAGAGAGAGAGAGAGAGAGAGAGAGAAGAGAGAGAATCCCAAACAGGCTCTACAATATCAGTACATGGGGCTAGATCTCACGAACAGTGAAATCACATCATGACCAGAGCCGAAATCAAGAGTCCAGTGCTTTTACCAACTGAACCACGCAGGCGCCCCCAGATCACTGTTAACCGGGGATTATTGAAAGTGCGGAAGGCGAATCGGCAGATAAGGGGATTACAGTATAAACTGATCCTGAAGTCTGATGAATGCTGTCCTTAGGAAACAGACGCACAGTGGGCCGGAGGTTATGGGTACTGTGGTGAGTAATACTTTCTGAAGCTAAAAGTTGGTACCCATGATCTGACAACGTCTTTTTAAGCCACTTTCACGTGGAAGAAGCAACCTTACCACTATCACTTAGTTGCTAAAATACAGAACTTTCTGACCTATTTCAGTGGCTTATGAACGGAACCAGATGAAACTTTGATAGAGAACTGCATCATCAATTCTAAAGACACAAGTGGCGTGTATGGAGCAGTTATACTTTCACAACTTTGGAGAGGGTAGTTTTCATGTCACAAAATTCTGTTTTATGTTTTTAAAAAATCACACTTACTGCTTTCCAGTAAAACCTCAAATATGAACACAGGTAAGAGGGTTTGGTGGGTTTTACCAACCCTCACCAGGAAGCCCAAGCAGCTGTACCAGCTCATCTGTGTTTTTAGTGGAACCAGGGGGACCTAGGTGGCTCAGTTGGTTAAGCGGCCGACTTTGGCTCAGACCATGATCTCATGGTTCGTGGGTTCAAGCCCGGTGTTGGGCTCTAGGCTGACAGCTAGCTGAGAGGGATTCTGTGTCTCCCTCTCTCTCCCTCTGACCCTGCTCTGCTCTCTCTCTCTCTCTCTCTCAAAAATAAATAAAAACATTAATAAATAAAAGGTGGAACAAGGGATTGAACTGCAAATGAATAAACCATTTTTAACCATATGTTTCTTTTAGAAGAGAGATTAATCATATTTTCTACTACATTTACATTTTCCTTTGCTTTGCAATTAATTTTGTGGCATGGCCTCTTTGTTAAGGTGGGAAACAAGTAACGGGGTTCAAAAGATGACTAGGAGGAGGTGAGGCATTCAAAGGTAGTTAGAAGTTAGAAACCCATCAGACAAAAGCAGGTTCAGTGGCCACATCTGAAGAACCTTGGCAGTTAGCGGGGTTTTCCCCTTCTTGGTGGAGAGAAAAGCCATGCATAGGGATCTAAGGAAGAGAGGGAAAGACCTGAGGGTTGGAGAAAGCAGGGGGCGCACAGCTTGTGATGTTCAGAAAAAAATGAGAGTTCTAGGGGCACCTGGGTGGCTCAGTCAGTTAAGCATCTGACTTCTGCCTAGGTCACTTGTGATTAGAGCCCCACATTGGACTCTGTGCTGACAGTTCAGAGCCTGGAGCCTGCTTCAGATTCTGTGTCTCCCTCTTCCTCTGTCCCTCCCCCATTCTCACTCTATCTCTCTCAAAAATAAATAAAAATTTAAAAAAATTTAAATGAAAAAAGAAATAAAGTTTTGGTTTTTTTTTTTTTTTTTTTTTCCAGCTACCTCCTCTAAAGGAAGGTAGGAGGGAGAGAAGGGGTCAGGAAAGTAAGGCAATGGAAAGCTCAAAAAAATTACACTTCTTAAGGAAGTGTAAGAAATATGGGACTTACTCCTCTCAACAGATACTGACATTTAGACATGCATTGTGCAGGCCCGGAGCATGGAGGCCCTCACTGCTCTTGTATGTCCGTGATGGAGGACTCCCATCAGAACTTCAGACTGTTCGCCCCTCTGCTTAGAGGATATTTCGACTGCTGTCCGGAAGACAAGAGCAGCTGGGCTGTTAAAGTCAACAGGCTCCCACTTCTGCACCGACCAGATTGTGTCATAATTGGAAATGTGAAATATGCCTTCCTCTGTTAGGACTTCCCGGGCGTAGCATGGCTTGTTTGTGTTTCCTCCAAACCCCAGAAAAGGCCAGTCCCAGGCTTGAGTAAACGCTCCAGGCTCATTGGTGAGGAGAAGGGGCCAAGGCCCCTACCAGGTCCAGGTGAAATGTATGGGCTCAGTTGGAAGGAGGAGAAGGAGACAGGTGGATGCAGGAGGGGCTACGACTGAAAACATGCCATTTTAACCGGGTTAGTCTTGCCCAGGAAATGGCCTCACCAATCCCCTCCGCCTGTCTGCAGGATCTTCTGGTCCTTCAGGCTCAGTTCAAACCCTGCCTGTTCCTTAAGGCATCCCTGGTCCCTCAGGAACCCTCCCTTCTCTGAGGTTGAACCCCCATGAAGCCTGTAATTAATTGGCACACGGACACTCGCTGGACCCAGAGAAGTCTTCTGTGGGACCAAGCCCTCTGTTCCTAGGCTGCTTTTACACCCTTCTCCTTCAGTCCCCATATTAATTTTAAGTTTAGTTATTTATTTTGAGAAAAAGAGTGCAAAAGAGGAGGAGGGAGAGAGAGAAAATTCCAAGCAGCCAGTCCACAGTCCACAGTCCACAGTGCACAGCCCAATGCAAGGATCAAATCCATGAACTGTTAGATCATGACCTGAGCTGAAATCAAGAGTCGGATGCTTAACTGACTGAGCCACCCATGCACCCCTCCTTCAGTCCCCATCTTATTTAACCCTTTACTGAAGTTTCCTCTTCTTTACCCTCTCCCCCCCACACACACCCAGAACCCACTCCCTCGCTCCACGTATCATGTAGCCCCAAGACTCCAAGATTCAGGCTCTGCTATCCATGGTAATTCAACAATAGGTCTATTCTGCCCCCAATTCTGCTGCTGGGCATGTGTTTTGGGGCTCTGGGTCCATGGGTGGGAGGAAGGACTTTAGGGTTTATCATCCAAGTTTGTAGTTTGCTCTTTCCCCAAATATCTAAATATACCAGACACATCTCAACTGCAAGGATTCACATCCTGCCAAAACTCCTCACCAGGGCTGCTGGAAAGACACACATTTATCTCCTTAATGCAATTTTGAGCTGATTATTCTACGTTTGTCCCCTCCCAACCTTCCTACATAGTGAAAGATACTGTGCCCAGGTTCTCCTCCTCCATTTCTGGGTTTCTCTCTGGCTTGATCGAGGGGTAAAAGTGAAGAGAAAGAACTATATTGCTACCCAGAAAGTTAAGATTTGTTTTCTCCCCGATTAGAATGCAAATTCCTTTTTATTGCCTGGAGAAGGTAGCATAGCACCAGGCACATTTAGTTGCTTCAGAGCCAGCTAAGTGACAAAGAGGGGACTCAAATTCAGGCATCTCTGCTCTACATCACATGCTTTCCTCTGTTCCATGGTTTTCCATGGCTGGGCTGACCAGAAGTCCTCGGGGGAAAAGTTAATATTATTAATTATTACTATTATTGGATCTGGGGATAAGAGGACAGAGATGTTCAGAACTAGCAGATCTCCTGTCCCCTGTCCCCTGTCCCACACTGCAGGGCCTCCTAGCAAGCACACAAACCCTCAAGTGAGGAAGTGGGGTCTAAGGCCATTAAATCTCTGTGGCGATGTTATTAACAGCTCCATCCTAGCTTTCACCAAGGAATCTGATCGCGAGCCCAAACTCAGCCCACTGCCCGGGAAACATGATGAAGAGGCCAGCCCAGGAGCCCTATTCCTCCATAACCATTTGGCTGAGAGTAAGAACAGAAAGCATAAGTAATTTGGACTCTTTTTTATTGACAAGAATCATGCCACATAGTAAGCACAACCTGCTAAGGCCCCACACTCAAACTGAGACCTGACCCTGGATCAGTAGACAGAGGCTTTCGTGCATTTTCTAGCATTACAACCCCTTTTTCCAGTGAAACCTTACACAGAAACCCAATAGGGAAAAGCAGTGAAGGTGGTGAAGATAGGGGCAGGGACTCCCAGAGCCCAACTACCAGGTCTTCCTGCTTGGTCCTCCCATGTCGTCACCCTCATCCAGACACGGGGACACCCTGGGTGAGGAACAGTCCCAGAGGGCAGCTGGGGGAGGGAGTGGACGGGCAGGAAAGCCGAGCAGCAAATTTGTTCTGCACGAGGCCCCTGGAAGCGGAGCTACTTTTGTTTTTTAGAGACTAAATAATGGGCCAAGGGATCAGAATGAAGCCTGACACAGGACCTGTCAATGTTGCTAGCATTCATCGCCTTTAAATATTCAAACACCAAGATTCTGAAGGATCTTTGACTTTTCTCTTCGTTTTTTTTTTCCAAATGTCAACAAACACTGCTTCTGCTGAGTGAAGAGTCTGGCCCTGCCTTTCTTGATGGAAAACAAAAGAAGGGGAGTGAGAGAGAAGGTGAGGAGAAATGGGGACAAAGAATAAGGATTCTCAAGATTCCTGAGAGAGCCAGATTGAGGGAAGGGGGTGGGGGGGGAGGCGCTGGAGAGCTGAAGGCCCGGCAGCCCCTCGTGTGTTGGGCTGTTCCAACGTACCCTTCATTTTACAGATAAGGAAACTGGGGCTCCAAGAAGCAAATGCAGTTAAGTTACATCATAAAACAAAGTTCAAAATTAAAAAAAAAAAAAAAAAAGTAAATTGAAACTGGAGCTCACAGTTTCTGGTGCCTGCTTTTCACATGGCAAATGTTTCCAGAAAGGAAAGGCTGTTCTCACAGACCCACAGATATGAATTAATTCTGTCAGCAAGCATTTATTAAGCCCCTACTGTGTGTCATCTATTGTCCTGCAGGCTGGGGAATAGAGATGAACAAGACACAGGCCCTGCCCCCGAGGAGTCCACAGGCCAGTGGGTGAAGCAGGCAGATAATAACCACCGCAATACGACCTAATAAATGTGGTGGCTGTGCTGTGTACATGTTGCTGTGGGGGTGTCAGCAGGACCAGATACATAATTTATGGGCTTCGGTGCAAAATAAAAATGCAGGGCCTCTGTCAAAAAAAAATCTCAGAATTTTAAGATGGTGACAGAAGAGCATCAAACCAAACATGAGGATCTTCTGAGCACAGGGTCCTGTGTGACTGCACAGGTCACACGTCCATGGATGTCACATACCCCCTCACAAAGGAAGTGCTTCTGCAGCCTAGTATGAAAGACAAAGAAGTCACCAGCATACAGGAGGGGAAGAACATTCTAGAAAAAGATAACAGCATGTCTAAAGACATGAGGAGGTGGAAACGCACAGTATTTTTGAGAAATTGAACAAGTTGGTTAGTCCAGAGTAGGAGAGAGGGGTGGGAGGGTAACAAGAAATGAGGCTGGCAAGGAATCAGACCCCAAGTAGTAGCAAGATGCTTTTAAACCATACTAGGCAGCTATCCTGTCTGTATTGATGAGTCGTTGAAGCTGCTTGGGGATATGATCTAATGGGTACTTTGGGGAAAAGCAAAACAAACTATTTGGGCAGCAGGAAGAGTGCGGGTTAGAAGACAGTGAGCCTGGAGTGAGACCCCAAGTTAGGAGGTTGGTACCATGGCCCTGACAGGAACTGAAAAAGAATAAGCAGATGGCATCCAAATATTGAAGAAAGAGTGTCTGGATGGAGGTGGCGATGGAGGTTTAGGGGCTCATCCATGAGGGGGCAATTGAACTCTCGAGTCCAGAGTTGCCCAGAGTGAGAATGAGAATGGGCACCAGAGGTAAAGATGTAGGTGAAGGAAGGAGACTTCCAAGGAGGGGGCTTAGAAATAGGAGGATGGTCAAAGGGGCAAATCACATGGATTCCTGAGACAAAAGAGTTTCAGGGGGCATAGAGTGGCCAAACTTGTAAATTAACCCAAGGGTAGGGTAAAGACTACAGCATCTGAGATAACTGAGGGGCGCAACACAGGGTGAACCGTCCAACGATGAGGTGTAGTCAGTGGCTGTTTCCCAAGCAATGGCAGTCCAGAAGAGCACAGGGACGACAGAGGGCTCTGGCTCCGCACCTCCACCTGCCGCATGGCTGGACGCCTGCCTCCCCCAGGCTCTCAGGGGGCCACAGTGGCCTGAATCACTGATTGCTCCTAGAACTGGAGCAGAGTAGCTCCTCCCACCTGCTCCCTCGCGGCTGCCATGTGCCTCCACAGGGGCCAGCAGAGGCCACACCTGAGCTTGGGGAGGACACTGAGGCATGCAACTGCCCCACGGCCACCTTCCCTCACCTTCGCAGACACTCACCCAGGCATTCACCCGTTACCAACCATGCTGTGGCCTCTGCAGCTGCCCACGTGGTTTGCACAGAGATGACAGAGCTACTGCCACCAACCTTGATACTTTCTGAGGCCCCAAATAGGAAGACCTCCTCCACCTTACTTGTTAGAACTCAATAGCACTTTGTTTGACTTACTCTCCCAGAATAAATAGCTCATCTGTCTTAGAATTTAGTATAAGTTTCCCAGAAGGACCTGCTCAGGTATCAATGAGCAAGGTCCAGACAGCATTCCAGGTAAAACCCCATCTTCCACTGGCCCTCGGGCAGTAGACGAAGTGCCCCTCCGAGTCTCAAAGAGTTCCTGCTGCAGTAGGTACATGGTCTAGGAGGTCCATGGTCCAACACAAAGTTTTCTTTTGTTAAGTTCCCACTGTGTGCCATTGTTTTACATTAATTATCTCATTTCTTTCTCAGTTCATGCCAGTGAGGTAGGTAGTAGCATTGTCCTATTTCCCAGAAGAGGTAAAGCAGAGTAGCCAATGACTGTATGGCAGTACAAAGAACATTCCAGTCCTCCATTGTGTCTGGGGGAGGAGGCCTTTACACACCTTTTTATACTTTTCAATATCTCAGGCAGCACTAGCTTCTATAAATTCAATATATTCTATACGTTCAATAGCTTCTGGCCTTGTCTCTTCCCAGAGATAGCATAGTAAGATGAATCAACCAATGGGATCCTTTCTCATTCTTGGCTTCATACCCACAGGCTACCAGATTGTGGAAAGGGAGTGGGACAGGCCAAACTGGCCATAGTCCAAGGCTTCCAAAAGAGGTATCCTTCCTGACCCTCAACAGAGAATATGTCTGGCATCACTCCCATGAAAGCTTCCTGCTGTTCTCTGAGAGCACATGTGTGCATGAGCGTACACACACACACACACACAAACACCAACCTCCTTACTGAGTAAAACCCATATCTCCTGCACAGAGATAAATCACAGATGGAACCCACATCATATTTGAGAAGCAAGCCAGTTGTCCACACTGGTTCTGGCTTGTTTACAGATGGCATCGCTTCTGATTTGGCTTCCATCCATTCTGACTAGCTGATGCCCATGCCATGTCTGTTGGCTAAATATTTTTTATATCAGCCTTGATTCTGTAGACAATGAAGCACAGACAAGTTAAGTAATATGTCTATAGACCCTCAACTGTCAAATGGCAGAGCCAGCATTCATAACCAGCCCTATCTAACTACATAGCCCAGTGCTGTTAGCCCCGTGCTCCATACATTAGGACTCTCTCAGGCCGAATGCCTACTGGGAAGCCATGTAGATGGACCCTTAGTGGTCCATCCAAACATGCTTGATGTCGCATGATAAAAATTCAAAGCTGACCCTGTTTGGAAACTTGGCTATGCACGTTAAAAATAATAATAATAATTATAATAATAATAGTAACTCTAAGGAAAGGCAAATGGTGAAACTCATTTCTACAAATCTCATAAATTTCAGATAAGCCATCTAGGGAGAATGAGCCAGGGCTTTTTTCCCCCTCTGAATTGGATTACTAGTTCCTGGGAAATGCCCATAAAACAAAATGCTTTCAGTTTCCAGGCCTTTACTTATGTTACTGTATGCATTTAAATGCTTGTTAGCAGGTGATCCTCATGAGTTTAGGGCAGTGCACCAGCCTAAACATGACCCAGATAAGAGACACCACACTGAAACACATACAAATAACCATCCTTTGGCTCTCCGGTGAAGTACCGTTCAGGAAGCACTAAGCGAGTCATGGGTGTAATGGCAGCATTGCACCACTGGCACCATGGGCTGGAGGGGCTAGAACAACAGGTGCCTTGCTTCCCACACCTCCCAGCTTCCCCAAACCAAGACAGTGGTTCTCAAGTGTGGCCTGTGCCAGTGGCAGCAGCATCACCAGGAAACTTGTAAGAAATGCAAATGCCCTTCCCCCCTCCCATAACTGCTGAGTACGTGTTTTAATAGGCCCACCTACTGATTCTGATGTGCACTAAAATTTAAGAGTCACCGCAGAAGAGGTCAGCAAAGACTTAAGATTATGAGAGTCTGTCCCTTTGCCCAAGAGAACTTAGGAACCACCAGCCCTTAAAGAGAAGCATTTCTTTAAAAAGTGATGTGGTAAAAGGATGAATTTCAGAGTTCAGAGTATGAACCTGGAATTATATCACACTCAACCACTTGCAAGCCATGTGCCCGTGAGCATATCACTTAATGTCTCTCAGAATTAGCTTCATCAGCTGTAAAATGAAAAGTATAAACCTAGCACAGTGCCTGGCATACAGAAGGCACTAAATAAAAAATAACTGTTATAATGCTGCTTCTTCTCAATCAGCAACTGAGCACAATAGCCAGAAAACATCGAGTACCTCTGTCCAGTCAGTAGATTACAGGGAACATCCACATAAGGAGAGGGATAATCTCCCTGGGGAGGGGCCAGGACAGACTCCCCCACTCCCACCTGCTGAGCCAGGTGGGGGAGGTTCCCAGTTCAATGAGCTCTGTTTGTGCTCAGCAAGAATCACAGGATCACAACGATCTCATCAGCACAGTTGGAGAACAACAGACATGAAGCCTAGATCCAGATCTTCAGGCACAGAATGTCACCAAGGAAAAACTGACTTGCTCCTTCATGATGACATTACCCCCAAGATACCATTCCTTGGAGAAACTTCAAGTTCTGTGCTGAAGTGTGGGAAAAGCTAAATAAGACCCTAAATTACAAATGTCAGAACAGAGCAGAGCAAGGGTTTTTTTTCAAATTTTTTAACGTTTATTTATTTTTGAGAGACAGAAAGAGCAAGCATGAGTGGGGAGGAGCAGAGAGAGAGGGAGACACAGAATCTGAAGCAGGCTCCAGGCTCTGAGCTGTCAGCACAGAGCCCAATGCGGGACTAGAACTCACGCACCATGAGATCATGACCTGAGCTGAAGTTGGACGCTCAACTGACTGAGCCACCCAGGTGCCCCTATAAGGTAGGTGAACCTATGGAGCACCAGCATTCTTCTCAAAGCTAGAACAAACTATCCTAAAATTTGTAAGGAACCACAGAAGACCCCAAATAGCCAAAGTAATATTGAAGAAGAAAACCAAAACGGGAGGCATCACCATCCCAGACTTTAGCCTCTACTACAAAGCTGTCATCATCAAGACAGTATGGTATTGGCACAAAAACAGACACGTAGATAATTGGTATAGAATAGAGAACCCAGAATTGGACCCACAAATGTACGGCCAACTAATCTTTGACAAAGCAGGAAAGAGTATCCAATGGAAAAAAGACAGCCTCTTTAACAGATGGTGCTGGGAGAACTGGACAGCAACATGCAGAAGAATGAAACTAGATCATTTTCTCACACCATACACAAAAATAAACTCAAAATGGATAAAGGACCTGAATGTGAGACAGGAAACCATCAAAACGCTAGAGGAGAAAGCAGGAAACAACCTCCTTGACCTCAACCGCAGCAATTTCTTACTTGACACATCCCCAAAGGCAAGTGAGTCAAGAGCAAACATGAACTATTGGGACCTCATCAAGATTAAAAGCTTCTGCATGGCAAAGGAAACAATCCATAAAACTAATAGGCAACTGATGGAATGGGAAAAGATAGTTGCAAATGACATATCAGATAAAGGGCTAGTATCCAAAATCTATAAGGAACTCACCAAACTCCACACCCAAAAAACAAATAATCCAGTGAAGAAATGGGCAGAAGACATGAACAGACATTCTCCAAAGGACATCCAGATGGCCAACAGACACATGAAACGATGCTCAATATCCCTCATCATCAGGGAAATACAAATCAAAACCACACTTAGATACCACCTCACACCAGCCAGAATGGCGAAAATGAACAAATCAGGAGACTCTAGATGCTGGTGAGGATGTGGAGAAACGGGCACCCTCCTACACTGTTGGTGGGAATGTAAACTGGTGCAGACCCTCTGGAAAACAGTGTGGACGTTCCTCAAAAAATTAACCATAGAACTCCCCTATGACCCAGCAACAACACTGCTAGGAATTTACCCAAGGGATACAGGAGTGCTGATGCATAGCAGCACATATACCCCAATGTTCATAGCAGCACTCTCAACAATAGCCAAAACATGGAAAGAGCCTAAGTGTCCGTCAACAGACGAATGGATCAAGAAGATGTGGTTTATCTATACCATGGAATACTACATGGCAATGAGAAAGAATGAACTCTGGCCCTTTGCAGCAACATGGATGGACCTTGAGGGTGTTATGCTGAGCGAAATAAGTCAGGCAGAGAAGGACAAATATCATATGTTTGCACGTATAGGAGGATTAGGAAGAACTTAACGGAGGACCGTGGGGGAGGAGAAGGGGAAGATAGTTGGGGAAAGGGAGGGAGGCAAACCGTGAGAGACTCTTGAATGCTGAGAACAAACTGAGGGCTGATGGGGATGGAAGTGAGGGGAATGGGGGTGATGGGCATGAAGGAGGACACTTGTGGGGATGAGCACTGGGTGTTGTATGGAAACCAACTTGACAATAAACTATTTAAGGAAAAAAAAAACCTACGGAGCCCCAGCTCCCATCTTCCCAGGAGAGAAGGGATAGAGGACAGGACGGGAGGCAAAAATCAGGGACAGAGTGGACACCTGACACAGCGCCAGAAGGTAGGGGAGGAGTGAATACTGTTTATAGCAGAGCTTCTCAACTACTCAATGATGTGTATAATTCACTCATTAAAATGCAGATTCAGATTGAGCAAATCTGGGATGGTGCCTGAGACTCTGCATTTCTACAAGGGGAGAAAATTAGGCTAGATAACAAGATTTTTAAAAATACTTTCCTTTTTATATATAAAGCTGTTGTGCTTTCTTTTTTATTTTTTAAAGATTTATCCATTTTTGAGAGACAGAGACAGAGTGTGGGTGGGGTGCAGAGAGAGAAGGAGACAGAATCTGAAGCAGGCTCCAGGCTCTGAGCTGTCAGCACAGAGCACGATACAGGGCTCTAAACCACAAACCATGAGATCATGACCTGAGCCGAAGTCCGAGATTTAACTGACTGAGTCACCCAGGCACCCATAAAATACATTGTAATTTCAGTTCTTTGATAAACATTTATTTATTTATTTATTTATTTATTTATTTATTTATTGGAAAGGGGGAAGGGGCAATGAAAGAGGGAGAGAGAAAATCCCAAGCAGGCTCCATGCTCAGCACAGAGCCTGACGTGGGGCTTGATCCCAGGACCACAAGATCATGAACTGAGCCGAAATCAAGAGTCAGATGCTTAACCAACTGAGCCACCCAGACATCCCAATAGGATTATTTTTGGGGGGCTGGAGAGAGAGGAAAATTGATCAATACTAGCAATTTAATAAATTTTGTCTCCTTGCATAGGAACATGTCCTAGCAATGTACTTCGTAAACTGTGTTGTTTGATAAAATGAAGGATAAATTACAAAATAGTTTGTAGGAGAAACACTTGTAAATTAAATGTTATCACCATAATCATTACCGTGTTACCCTGGGCTCTCCCTAGCATGTAGTATTTAAGAGTGCCAATTATTTAAGAGTGCCAATCAGTCCTCATCTATTCAACATTCTAAGGCTCTCAAGACCTCAAAATGAGCCCTAGTTTTAACCCAGAATTTACGCTGAGCTCACACTATTGTTTATTTCATAAATTCTTGCACCTAACGCTAAGCAGAATAATATTGGCCATGTTATTCTATACATTTATCATTTCTGATGATTTGGTAGCTTGTGTTGCCCACCAGCACTCTACCCCCAGAGACTGAGTTATCCATGACTTGAGGTGGGATGGAGTAGAAGAGAGAACAAGGGATTAAATTTCCAAGAAGAAGGTGGCTTTGACATTCAAGTTCAATTTTTTAAGTTCACAGAAAAGACAATAATCTTGAGAGCCCTGGTTTTCCAGTACAAAAACTTGGCAGCTGAGAAGATGAAAGAGTCTTTCTGAATTCCGCAGAGTAGGCAGGATGGAAGACATGAAGTGGGAGCAGTTTACCTCCTCTGGAGGGAGAGAAGCTCCAGGAAAATCATGGAGTAGAGTTGTGTGGCATGAATGTCCTGATTAGACTCAGCCTGTCCCTTCTAGGGCACCTCTCCAGGTGGTTGCTTATAGAACTCCAAGTGGAAAGAAAGTCTTCTATCACGAGTTCATAGGGCATTGGTCAGGGTCACTTGTTCTGAACTGGAGGACAGGCCACACATCACATGGGCTGCAGATACGGAGGCAACCAATGCAGTGAGAGCAGAGAGTCATGCCCCCAAAGCTGGCAGGACCAATTGCTCCACCTCAGAGACCAGGCAGGACAGAAGCCAGCACACAAACCAGACAGGAACCATCCTCCCTCTCACTCCTTCCGGCAGGCAGGTGCCATCCCGGGAGAAGACAGAACACTTGCTAAGGGATAAGGATGCTGATAGAAAGTTTGAACTTAAAATAAGTGAGTTTTGGGGATGCTTGGGTGGCTCAGTTGGGTTAAGCATCAGACTTTGGCTCAGGTCATGATCTCGCAGTTCGTGGGTTCAAGCCCCGCATCAGGGTCTGTGCTGACAGTGTGGAGCCTGCTTAGGATCCTTTTTCTTTCCCTCTCTCTGCCCTTTTTTCACTCTCGCTCTCTCAAAATAAATAAACATGAGATAAATAAAATAAATGAGTGAGTTTTTACTGTCTGAGTAGTGAAAAAAGACTACAAATCAAGACAGAATTTGACTAAGCTACCTTTAATTGTTAAGAATAAATCTTTTCACAATAGCAAAAAAGTGATGGCTAGTGACAGTTTTAAGAAAATAACATTTCAGTTAGCACATTCGAGTTGTGACTAAGTTTCAAACCCACTACATGTCTTGATTTTAGGCAACAGTAAGAGCAAAACAGATGAAGTCTCTACTCCCCTACGCAGCCTATAGTTCAGTGGGAAGGCAGTCATTAAACAGGCAGTCACACAGAGAAATACAAAACAACCGTTGTGCTCAGTGCTATGAAGGAAAAGTACAAGGAGGAAAGGGAGGAAGACCCCTGTCCCAAATCCTCCTGCCTGCCCATCTCGATGCCAGAAATTCAACATCTAGAATGAATTCTACTGGTTAATCACTGCTTTCTCCAAAGACTTGTGGAAGGAGCTGCTCGTGAACTTGCTAACCTTTGCATTTTGAGAGTTTAATAATTGCCAATCTGTTCAAAAAATAAAAAAGCAGGAAAGCTCTGAAAGTCTAGTTGGGGAGGCAGGGAGGAACAAGCAATGGGGACCCCATAGCTGGGATCACGAAGAGGGCAGCATATGGAGAGGAAGGGCATAGGAGGATCACTCTGTGGGGAGCCTGGGGAGGAGTCCAGCGGGGGTTGCAGGGATGGAGGGGGGACCAGGGGGAGGGGTGGGGGGAAGAGGAGCACGTAGGGATGGAGGGAGGAATGGGGGGGGGCAGGGGCACAGGCAGGAGCACGTAGGGATGAGGTTTCCACGACAAACATGCCAGACAGTCTTGCCCAGGGTTGCTCCATCCTATACAATAGCATTTGGAGCTTAGCACAAGTGTATAGTGATCCTGTGGGTAGGGTCTGACGCCTGCACTAGGGCAGTATAGACAGCACCTAGATGTCAGGATAGCCTGACACCTGGAAAGAAGTTTAGTCTCTTTTGTAAACTCAAGGGACCTCAGCTTTTACCTTAGTGCCCACAGGGAAGCAGGGTCCTTCTTCCAGGGAAGTGAGGGAGACCTGGGTAGCCAGAAGTTCCTCTCACTTCCAGGAAGGAGCATGGCATTGTGGTTAAATCCATTGCTCTGACATCCAGCAAAATTCAGACTCAGGCACTTAACAAATGAGGGTGAGCTACTTGACCTCTCTGCACCATCACTTTCTTGTCTGTGAAATGGGAACAATAAATGTAGTTATCTCATCATAAGATCAAGTAAGACACCTTATGCAGCATGCTTTTTCAGTTACCGGCTTCTCACTGGAGTTCAGAGAGAGGCAATGGTGTGAAGCTGGCCGTGGCCATCTGGCAGGTAAGTGCGCCACAGCATCAGCATCACCTGGATGCTTCACCCCAGACCTATGGAACCAGCATTTCTAGGAATCTGTGTTTTAACAAACTTTCCAGGAGGCTTTTATGAACCCAGGTTTGAGAAGCATAACTCCATAATCACAGATAAGCCTGAAGTCATCCGTAGCGTGTGAGTAAAGCACTGGGGAGGGGAATGGATGTTGAATGCTTGCTGGTGGAGTATCTTATGCAAGTCCTTTCTTCTCCAGAGGCAGTGATAAGATTGATGAGAGCACCCCATCATGTGCCTGAAAGGGCTTTGCAACACATCAAACACCATGAGAGTGGAAGAGATTGTGATTCTTATCGCCACATTTGTAATAGGGTTTTTTAAAAGGGAAAACAGCCAAGTCCTTGGCTTTCCTTCCCCTGCTCTTGGCAAGACCTCCTACTGCTCTAGGAGGACTGCAAGAACATTGACCCAGAATTCCCTGCAGGTTTCCTTGGAAAAGCAAGCTAACTCTGACAGCTAAAACTGCTCCACAGTGGATGGGAAGATCCCTGCGGCTCCGACCCCACAGCTACTCCCTCTGGTTTCTGGCCTGCACAGCTGACCCACACAGCGGGGCTCTCCGTGCCTCGGGAGCTTTCTGCTGATGGAGCATAGCTTCCAGGGACCCCCAGGATTTGAATCAAGACCAATAAATGAGTAGGTGGGGGGAGTTACAAAGGGTTAGGTTTCGTGCCCAAATAAGGAAGAACGGCAACTATTGGAGCTGCTCAAAAGTGGCCTCAACTTCCCTAGTAGATCCCTGACAGACAAGTGAGATCCCTGACCTAGGAGATGGTCACTCACAGGCTAATGCCCTCTGGCAGGGCTTTTTTTTTTTTTTTTTTTTTAATCCTTTTTCTTCTTACCCAGGTCTAGGAGCAGCGTGCTGTGCCTGATACCTGAAGAACCTTCTTCAAAACATCCCTAAATCTCTTATTTCATTCCGTTGGTATTTGCTTATTACCTACCGCAAGTCAGGCGCTGGCCTAGACACTCAGGATGGAGGGTCTTGCTCTCGGTTTAGACTAGGTGAACATGGAAGCCTCTCTACACAAGTGATGTTGTGGGCTGAGCTCTAGAGCACAAGCAGGAGCCAGAAGTAGGGACATTATGTGGGTGAGCACATCAGGCCACGGTCCTGATGCAGGAGTCCGGGGGCACAGTCAGAGGCGGCAAACCCCAGGAGAAGGCAGGGAGAGACCAGATCCTATATGGAAGGCCTATTCGCCAGTGTCTGGGGTTTGGAGGGTTTTTTCCTTTTGTTTTTCTTTCTCTACTGCAGCACTCAAACAAGCCTGCTGACTGCCAGCATCATTGGAATTTCTTTGTTGAACACCTACTTCCTGCTACAAACATCAGGAAACCAGGGCCCTGTCCTCTCCCACCAGCTGCTACTTCCTCCAAACACTCTGGAGCCTGACCTTTGTTTTCAGCATCTTTCTTCACTCTGTATTATTGAAAAACTTGGATCTGACAGCCAATTGCTCACTTTATGATGCACCGGCTGGTTACCAAACCAACATTCTTTTTCTTCTTTTATCTGTCTTTTCCATGTGATGAAACACAGGTGCAGAGTGGATACGGGCCCAAATACAACCATGAAATAACAGACTCAATCTCTCCAGGGAGGTGGGGTGGAGGTGGGGTGGTGGGCAATGAGGCACAATGGTTAAGGCACAAGGTCTGAGTTCCTTCTCACTTGCCAGATATGTGACCTTGGGCTGGCCATCTCTCAGAGCCTCAGTGTTGCCATACGTAAAATAAAGATAATGATAGTCCCTACTTCACGGGAGGGTGAGTACGGCCCGATATTTTATAAGTAAAGAATTTAGAGCAGAGGCCGGTGCTTAGGGAGTGCTTAAGAAGCATAAAGCCTTATTTGGCCCAAACTTTGGCTTTTTGTGAGTGTTCACAATTGTTCCACACTGAACGAGTATCTTTGGGTATCTCCTGTGGACCAGGCATTGTGCTAGGCACAGTTTCACAGAAATGGCTCTGGTCTACAAGTCATACAACCTGATTCTTCTGCCAGGAGCTGGGTGACCAAGGACCAGCCTTGTCATCTCTCAAGTCCTCAGGTCTCTTCCCCCTGAAAGGAGTGAGCTGGGATCACGTGCCTTCCGAGGCCCTTCCAGTCCTGGGTTGGCACAGTGACTGTCCTCAGGAGGATACGGCCTCCAGTCCTGCCCAGATGGGGCTGACCCCTCCAGTCACTCGTGTCCACCGGTCCCAGCGTGCGAGCACGTGCCCTGGAGAGAAGCAGGCCTGATCACTGTCTTGTGTTCGCCATAAAATATTGATTAGGGAATTTAAAATTTCGAAATGATTTAGGAGCCCCGAGACGGGGACGTAATGTGCTGTGCCCAGCTGCGTTATGAGCCATCTATCTCCTGTCAGCAAGCAGCACGAAACTGACAGAATCAATACAAACGTGTCTGAAGAGAAGCTTAACTCATTTCCTTCCTCCAGGGGCAGTGGTTGGAATGGGTCAGCCCTGGGAGATGGCGCTGAAGCTGGAGCCCGCACACCCATCTGCCGGGTGCAGGGGAGGGAAGACTGCTGGGGACCTGGCTATTTTCACTTTCTCCATTGGCTGCTATGTGTATCTCTGCTAATACATCAGGAAAATTAATAAATCTGAAACTTCCATTCTCTCCTTTCCTTTCCTAAGGCTTTAAATAGGATCTTCTGGGCTGTGGCCTGAAAGGAAAATAATAACAACAGCTACCTCATATTTAGCACCAACAATCTTCTAAAGAATCATCTTAACTTCTCAGAGCCTCAGTTTCCTTATCTGTGAAAGGAAGAGAATGATCACACGGTCCCACGGGGTTGATGCCAGATTAAAGCAGAGGCACTGTGAATGTAATTAATGCCAATGACCTATATATTCAAAAATGGCTAGAGGAACCTGGGTGGCTCAGTCAGTTAGGCATTGGACTCTTGGTTTCTGCACTGATAGTGCAGAGCCTGCTTGGGATTCTCTCTCTCTCTCTCTCTCTCTCTCTCTTCTCCTCCTCCCTTTCTCTCTCTCAAAATAAATAAATAAACAAACAAAAAAATCTTTAAATAGTCAGAATAGTAAATTTCATGTTATGCATATTTTACCACTATTTAAAAAATAATATAAACCTAACAAGATTAAAGCAGAGAAACTATAGCATATAGTACATAAAAGGTTCTCCCAAAATGGCGGCTATTGAGGAGATTGGGGGGGGAGGGCAAAGCATAACAAGTAACATGTCCAAGGTAACAAGTTGCAAATCCGAAACAAAAGTACTGTCCTTGCACCTACACTGTGCTACGGGAGACAGAGCAGGTGTGTTACACGAATCCTCTGCATCCTTCTCTGCCTGACCAGCATCCCAGGTGCAGGTCTTGTATTCCTCAGCAAAGTTAATAAATATGTCACTCCCAGGGAATGGCTTTGCTCCTTCCTGCCTCACATATGGTTCTATGAACCTGAAACATTTATTAAACACACTGAGAAGCTTGAATAAGAATTTAATTTTTCTAGCTAAACAATGGTGTGTGCGGCAGGCAAAGAGAATTACTTGTTTAATCTTACCTTTGCATGCCTACTCAGTTTAAGAGGCCTGGCTTACCCCAGGAGCAGTGTGACATCTCAGGATTTAGGATACTAAATAGCACATCTATAAAGGACCTATTTACTACATAAAGGAAAAGCCAATCTGTAGGTCTTTTTAACTCCAGATTTTTTTCATGATAAATTTATATTCCTAAGGACATATATACACTAAAGCCACTTTTCCCCCAAGGCACTGTTAACTCCCTCACAGGGCAGAGTACAGACTTACTCTCTGTTTTCTCACCCTAAGCCTCAAATCCTAGAATCGTTGTGTGGCTTTTGCTTAGCATATCTGCCTTTTATTCAACCCCTTCCTATAGTCTTATCATTTCTTTACTCCATCTATCACATTTATTGATTGAAAAAGCACTTGTTAGGCACCTACTACAGGCCAGGCAATATGCACCATATGGAGAGAGAATTAAGACAGAGTTTTTGCCTTTAGAAAACTAATGGCCTAGCAGAAAAGACAAACATGAAAAGAAAAGAGCATAACCTAGTATTTGAAATGTGATTCAAGGGTACCAGAAGAGGTAACAATTTATTCTCCTAGAGGGTCAGGAGCAACATCAGTCTATGAGTGACTTTTGAAATGCATCTTCATGTTAAGCAAAAGGACCCAAATGGACGGAGTAAGGAAAAGCACTCTAGAGGTGGCACATGGCCAGTGGCATGGATCTGAAGGCCAGGATGGCCGACTAAGGATCTGAGTGTAGTTTGTCAAAGCTAGACCATAGGCTGTGGGTAGGGATGATGGGGTGGAGATGGGGGGCCAAAAACTGGTGCTTTGGTTGTTAGCAGCCAGAAGATCTGAGCAGACATTTTTTCAAAGAAGACATACATATTGGCCAATGGTTACATGAAAAAGTGCTCAACATCACCAATCATCAGGGAAATGCAAATCAAAACCACAATGAGATATCACTTCTCACCTATTAGAATGGTTATCATTAAAAAGATAAGAAATAACAATTCTGGTGATGATGTGGAGAAAAGGGAACTCTTGTACACTTCGGTGGGAATGGAAATTGGTGCAGCCACTATGGAAAACAGTATGAAGTTTCCTCAAAAAATGAAAAATAGAACTACCCTATGATCCAGTAATGTTACTCCTGGGTATTTATGTGAAGAAGACAAAAACAGTCATTTGAAAAGATATATTCACTCCCATGTTCACGGCAGCATTATTTGCAATAGCCAAGATATGGAAATTGCCTAAGTATCCATCAGTGAATGAACAGATAAAGAAGATGGAATATTATTTGGCCATTGAAAAAGAATGAGCTCTTGCCAAAGATGAAACTCAAGGGCATTACGCTAAGTGAAGTAAGTCTTACAGAGAAAGACAAATACTATATGATCTCACTTAAATGTGGAATTAAAAGAGAAAAGAGAAAAAACCCACAAATGAACAAAAAGCAAGCTTGTAGATATAGAGAACATATTGGTGGTTGCTAGAGGTGGGGCAGATCAGAGAAATAGGTGAAGGAGGTAAAAGATACAAACTTCCAGTTAGAATATAAATAAGTCTTAGCATAGAATGTACAGTATGGTGACTAAGTTCAATAGTACTGTACTGCATATTTGAAAGTTGCTAAGAGAGTAGATCTGAAAAGTTCTCAACACAAGAAAAAAAATTGTAATTATATAAGGTTACAAATGTTAACTAGACTTATTATAGTGTTCATTTCATAGTGTCTACAATATGGAATAATTATGTTGTACACCTGAAACTAATATAATGTTACATATCAATTTTGCCTCAATTTTAAAAAAATGGTCTGCTAGATTCTATTATTATTCTTAATTGTTCCCTCTCCCCTTCTATAAGAGAAATATGCATCCTTTTCCACTGTCAAACAATGTCAATTTACAGAAACTCCTTGTGAAAGAAATATATTCCTTGCCTCCACTAATCACAGGCCACATGAGATTTGCTTTAGCCAACTCGGTGTGAACAAGTGACATATGCCACATACCACAGAAGAACCATTGTGTGCTTAAGCCATGTCTCTTTCATTTTCCATAAGAATAGCTATCCCAGATGGTGGCTGTTTCTTCAACCTAGATTCTTAAAGGAAGAATATATTTGTTGTAGGAGCAGTGCCATTCCAACCCACAGACGATCTGAAATGTGATCAAGAAATAAACTTTTGTTGTAAGCCACTAAGATGTGGGGGTTGCTTGTTACTGCAACCTAATCTGATGCAAACTGACTAATATAGGTGGGAACGTATTCACACAAGGCTCCAAGAAACAGGCAAATGGAGCCTTCATGTTTAAAATTCTGCCAACCTGAATGGAAATTGTGGATAAATGACTAAAGGAAAAGGGGTGTTCATTCTCCCAAAGTCATGGTCCATTTTGAGCCTGACACCATTTCCTCTCTTGCATTTGCTGCTCAAAATCTCCCAGATTTCTCACAAAAGACCTTTGATCATCATCTTTCTACTAGGGGAGAGACACTAGTAGGGTTTCCAAATTCTCTAAATTGAAATTATTCAATTGAACTCTAACACCAAATAGATCTATGAAATAAGATGGAGCTAGCTGATTTCATGCTCCAAGTTTTTTTTTTTTTTTTCCATTTCCAAACCTGACGGTTTCTATCTGTAAAACACCAAGGCAGTAGGCCATCTGCCACTTAAGTTTCTGCAGTAGCACTTAAAGCAGACAATGATTTTTGCCTGAGGAAAGTTACCTTCCTTCTCGTGTTAGCTTATCCAAGAGAGACAAAGATAGAGTTCTGATATTATCCAGAGGAAGACATTGCTAGAGGGGTTTTCACAGATTACTCGAGCTTCCTTTTTAGAGATGAGAAAATTGAAGACATAATGTGATATACAAAGCAGCTGGCACATAATAGGTACTCAATATATAGCTACTGAATAAATGGATGAATTAAAAACTGAATGAATGAATGAATGAATGAATGAATGAATGAATGAAAGCTTGCCCTAATAGCTGATGGCAGGACTGGTCGTAATTAGAGCTAGTATACCATGTCAAATGCACTTTTCCCTAGGATGAATTGTGTTTTCCCATTCATTCATCCATTCAGTCAATATCCAAATTGTATTGAGCTGCTCCTGTGTGCTAGGTATAATGCTGTACACCGCGGAGGAGGAAGATGGCCTGAGCAGGTCACAGCCTCTGCCTTCCAAAAGCCCAGGTCTAATGTGAGCTCCTCACCATTGTAACTTCCTCACCAAAACCACCTTTGTATTCTATTTCTTTAATTCTTCAATCATCCTCCCCTTCACAAAGAAAATGTTTCTACAAGTTTACTAGTAGTTTTGAAGTGGCAATTGTCACCCTTTGGGACCTCTGGATCTTTTTACATTCTTAAGGAATTATTGCAGACCCCAAAAGGCTTCTGTTCAATGTAGGGGGGTTTTGGTCATCTTCCATCATAACTGTTAATGCTAACAATATTTACCACATTTAAAATTAAAAATAAGAAATGTTTGAGATATGTATTTATTTATTTATTTATTTAAATCATTTAAATATGATAATAATAAACCCAGTATGTGTTAACATAAATAGCATTTTTCTTTTTGAAAAATATATTTTTCGAATAAAAATAATTTCAGTGAAAGAACGGCATTGTTTTACATTTTTGTCAAATATCTTTAATGCCCAGCTTAAAGAAAATAACTAGATTCTCATGTCTGGTTCTATATTTCATCTCTTGTGATATCACATGTCTTGTAGCCTTTGGAAAATTCCATGGTACACTAAGAATATGGAAAGTAGAAATAGTAAACAATGCCTTAATATTGTTTTGAACATAATTTCAATCTCAGGGACTCTCTAAGTGGTCTTAGGGACATCCCTCAAACCCCTGGACCACACTTAGAGAACCACTATCCTGAAGATAATTTAATCTTCCTTTCAATTGGGGATGGGGGGCAAGAGGAGGGAAATTGGGAAGTTAAAAGGGAAAGGAAAATGCTAAGGGACCTGAGTATGTTAAACTCTGAACAGATGCCATTTAGGATGTAGAGAGTCAAGGTGGAACACGGCTCTCCCCCATAGGCACTTAATTATTTTT